GATAACAGGAATTAACAATCACTGGTCATTAATATCTCTTAATACCAATGGACTCAATTCGCCTATAAAAAGACACAGGCTAACAGAATAGATATGAAAACAGGATCCATCCTTCTGCTGCATACAAGAAACACACCTCAACTTCAAAGACAGACACTACTTCAGAGTAAAGGGTTGGGAAAGACTTTCCAATCAAATGGACTTAAGAAGCAAGCTGTTGTAGCTACCCTAATATCTGAACAAAATAGACTTCAAACTAAAATTAATCAAAAGAAATGGAGAAGGACATTTCATATTCATCACAGGAAAAATCCACCAAGATGAAGTCTCAATTCTGAACATTTATACCCCAAATACAAGGGCACCCACATATGTAAAAGAAACACTACTAAAGCTTAAATCACACATCAAACTCCTAATAGTAGGAGACACCCCACTCTCACCAATGAACAAGTCTGCCAGACAGAAACTTAACAGAGAAATAAGGGAACTAACAGATGTTATGACTCAAATGGACTTGATAGACACCTACAGAACATTTTACCCTAGCACAAGAGAATAATAACCCAAGCACAAGAGAATATACCTTCTTCTCAGCACCCCATGGAATCTTCTCTAAAATTGAACAGATACTCCATCACAAAGCAAATCCCAACAAAATACAAAGATACAAAAAATTTGGAATAACCCCCTATATCTTATCAGATCACCATAGCTTAAAGTTAGAATTCAACAACACAAAATGCAGAAAGCCTACAAACTCATGGAAACTAAATAATGCTTAACTGAATCACCACTGGAACAAGGAAGAAATAAAGAAATTAAAGACTTCCTAGAATTCAATGAAAATGAATGTACAACATACCCAAACTTATGGACACTATGAAAGCAGTGATAACAGGAAAGTTCATAGCTCTAAATGCCCACTTAAAGAAGTTGGAGAAATCTCACACTAGCGACTTAACAGCACATCTGAAAGCTCTAGAACAAAAAGAAGCAAACTCACCCAGGAGGAATAGCCCCGCCAGGAAATAACCGAATTGAGGGCTGAAATCAATAAAATAGAAACAAAGAGAACAAACAAAGAATCAATGAAACAAAGAGTTGGTTCTTTGAGAAAATCAACAAGCTAAACAAACCCTTATCCAAACTAACCAAAAGGCAGAGAGAGAACATCCAAATGAACAAAATAAGAAACGAAAAGAGAGACATAACAACAGACACTGAGGAAATCCAGAGAATTATCAGGTCATACTTCAAAAACCTGTACTCCACAAAATTGGAAAATCTAAAAGAAGTGGACAATTTTCTGGATAGATACCACATACCAAAATATTAAATCAAGACCAGATAAACCATTTAAATAGACCTATAACCCCTAAGGAAATAGAAGCAGTCATTAAAAGTCTCCCAACCAAAAACAAAACAAACAAACAAACAAAAACAAACCCAGAGCTTGATGGTTTCAGCACAGAATTCTACCAGAATTTCAAAGAAGAGCTAATACCAATACTCCTCAAATTGTTCCACACAATAGAAACAGAAGGAACATTTCCAAACTCCTTTTATGAGGCTATAGTTACCCTGATACCTAAATCACACAAAGTTGCAACAAAGAAAGAGAATACAGACCAATCTCCTTCATGAATATTGATGCAAAAATACTCAATAAAATACTGGCAAACCGAATCCAAGGACACATCAAAAAAAAAATCATCCACCATGTTCAAGTAGGCTTCATCCCAGAGATTCAGGGATAGTTCAACATACGAAAATCTGTTAATGTAATCCATCACGTAAACAAACTGAAAGAAAAAAAACCACATGATCATCTCATTAGATGCTGAAAAAGCCTTTGACAAAATCCAACACCCCTTCATGATAAAGGTTCTAGAGAGATCTGGAATACAAGGAACATACCTAAACATAATAAGGGCAATATACAGCAAGCCAACAGCCAACATCAAATTAAATAGAGAGAAACTCAAAGTGATTCCACTAAAATCAGGAACAAGACAAGGCTGTTCACTCTCTCCATATCTATTCAATATAGTACTCAAAGTCCTAGCTAGAGCAATAAGACAACAGAAGAGATCAAGGGTATACATATTGGAAAGGAAGAAGTCAAACTTTCACTATTTGCAGATGATATGATAGTATACACAAAGTGACCCCAAAAATTCTACCAGGGGACTCCTACAGCTGATAAACACCTTTAGTAATGTGGTGGGACACAAGATTAACTCAAAAATATCAGTAGCCCTCCTATATACAAATGATAAGTGGGCTGAGAAAGAAATCAGAGAAACACCACCCTTTACAATAGTCACAAATAATATAAAATACCTTGGAGTAACTCTAACCAAACAAGTGAAAGACCTATAACTTTAAGTCTTTGAAGAAAGAAATTGAAGAAGATAATCAGAAAATGGAAAGATCTCCCATGCTCATGGATAGGTAGGATTAACATAATAAAAATGACAATCTTACCAAAAGCAATCTATAGATTCAATGCAATCCCCATTAAAATCCCAATACAATTCTTCATAGACCTCAAAAGAACAATACTCAACTTCATATGGAAAAACAAAAAACCCAGGTTAGCCAAAACAATCCTGTACAATAAAGGAATTTCTGGAGGCATCACCATCCCTGTCCTCAAGCTCTACTATAGAGCTATAGTAATAAAAACAGCTCGGTATCAGCATAAAAACAGACACATGGACCAATGGAATGGAATTGAAGACCCTGACATTAATCTGCACAAATATGAACATCTGATTTTTGACAAAGAAGCCAAAACTGTACAATGGAAAAAAGAAAGCATTTTCAACAAATGGTGCTGGCATAACTGGATATCAACATGTAGAAGATTGCAAATCTATCTATCATGCACAAAACTCAAGTCCAAGTGGATCAAAGATCTCAACATAAATCCAGTTACACTGAACTTGATAGAAGAGAAAGTGGGAAGTAGCCTTGAATGCATTGGCACAGGAGACCACTTCCTAAATATAACACCAGTAGCACAGACACTGAGAGCAACAATTAATAAATGGGACCTCCTGAAACCAAGAAGTTTCTGTAAGGCAAAGGACAGGGTCAACAAGACAAAACAGAAGCCTACAGAATGGGAAAAGATCTTTACCAACCCCACATCAGATAGAGGGTTGATCTCCAAAATATATAAAGAACTCAAGAAACTAGACATGAAAATACCAAATAATCCATTATTTTTTTAAAAATGGGGTACAGATCTAAACAGAATTCTCAACAGAAGAATCTCAAATGGATGAGATCCATTTAAAGACGTGCTCAACATCCTTAGTCATCAGGGAAATGCAAATCAAAATGACTCTGAGATACTATCTTACACCTGTCAGAATAGCTAAGATCAAAAACACTGAGGACAGCTTATGTTTGAGAGGATGTGGAGTAAGGGGAACACTCCTCCACTGTTGGTGCAAACTTGTACAGCCACTTTAGAAATCAGTATGTCGACTTCTCAGAAAATTGGGAATCAATCTACCTTAAGACCCAGTGATACCACTCTTGGGCATATACCCAAGGATGCTCAATCATACCACAAGGACATTTGCTTAACTATGTTCACAGCAGCATTATTTGTAATAGCCAGAACCTGGAAACAACCTAGATGCCCCTCAACTGAAGAATGGATAAAGAAAATGTAGTACATTTACACAATGGAGTACTACTCAGCAGTAAAAAACAATGGCATCATGAAATTTGCAGGCAAATGTGTGGAACTAGAAAATATCATCCTGAGTGAGGTAACCCAGACTCAGAAAGACAAACACAGTATGTACTCACTTGTAAGTGGATACTAGATGTAAAGCAAAGGATAACCAGACAACAGCCCACAGCTCCAGAGAAGCTAGGGAATGAGGAGGACTCTAAGAGGGATGCATGGATCACCCTGGGAGGGGGAAATAGATGAGATCTCCTGGGTAAATTGGGGGTGGGGAGGCAGTAGAGGGGAAGGGATAGAGGATGAGAACATGAGGAAACAGGATGGTTGAGCTAGGGGATGGGGTGGGAGAGCAAAGAAAGAAATGTCTTGATAGAGGGAGACATCATGAGGATAGGGAGAAACTTGGTGCCAGGGAAGTTCCCAGGAATCCACAAGGATGATCCCAGCTAAGACTACTAGCAATAGTGGAGAGGTCTTGAACTGGCTTACCCCGGTGATCAGATTGGTGAATACCCTAACTGTCATCATAGAGCCTTCATCCAGTAACAGATGGAAGCAGATGCAGAGATCCGCAGGTGAGCACCAGGCCGAGCTCCAGGGTCCAGTCGGAGAGAGAGAAGAGGGATTATATGAGCAAGGGGGGGGTCAAGATCATGATGGGGAAATCCACAGAGACAGCTGACCCAAGCTCGTGGGAACTCCTGAACTCTAGACCGACAGCTGGGGAGCCTGCATGGCTCTGAACTAGACCCACTGCATGTGGGACACAGTTGTGTAGCTTGGTCTGTTTGGGGGCCCCTGGCAGTGTGATCAGGATCCATCCCTGGTGTATGAGCTGGCTTTTTGGAGCCCACTACCTATGGTGGGACACCTTGCTCAGCCTTGATGCAGTGGGGAGAGGCTTGGTCCTGCCTCAACTGAATGTACCAGGCTTTGTTGACTCCCCATGGGAGGCCTTACCCTTTTGGAGGAGTGGGTAGTAGGTGGGTGAGTGGGGATGTGGGGGAGGGCGGGGAGGAGGGATGGGAGGGGAACTGTGGTTGGTATGTAAAATGAATAAAAAAATTTGCTTAAAAAGGGGGAAAGATTAGGGGTAACTTAATGGCAGTGCTCTTCCTGAGTAGAGGCCCCAGGCTCATCCAGCATTAAAAAAACCCCAAAAACCCAAAACCAACCACAGCAGAAAATGCCCAAGAGGAAGGTGTTCACATGGGAGGCTTGTGCTTCCTGCCTCGTCCTCTCTAAACAACCCCTCTCACAAAAGAAAATGACTTATGCAAATGGGAGCTGCCTTTTGAGAACAAGGTTTAATTCAGGTCCAGAACTATGATTATATTACGATAAAAATCACTACCAATGCCAGCGTTGCCTTTAAGAACCACTTGGGTTTGGTTTTTCCGACTACTTCTGAAAAACCAAAGGGAAGCCACCTAGTGTCTGACTTAGCTGTGGCAATAAACATGCATTTACCTTATTTACCCCAGAGAAGTGCACTGGCTACATGTTTCTCGATGTCTCCAGTAGTCTAGTTCACCTGTCAGCATTGAGCTGTCCTGAATGCTTTCTCCCACTTCCTGTTCTTTGAAACCAAGACATGCTTTGAATTCTATCACTTAAATCTTGCTTTTCCCCCTCTTCCCCTTGGGTGCTCCTGGCCAGGTGTAGCCTCGAAGATACAGGCAGTCGGCAACATTGTGGGCGATGTAGTAGAGGTTCAGCATGGCGGCAGGGCTGAGGATGTCCGGTTCCGGCCTCTTCTGCTTCTGCTTCTTCCCGCTAGTCTTGGCCCGGGCTTTCCCTTTCTTCCCTTTACCTGACTTTCAAAGGCAAGTACAGACATGGGAGAAAATTAGTTTCTATCACCTCATCCCCTTGATGGGATTCTCTCCTTTCTTTCTTTTTCTGTTTTTCTTTCTTTTTTCTTTTTGGAGACAGGGTCTCAACCATCTAGACCAGGCTGGCCTTGAACTCACAGAGATCTGCCTGACTCTGCCTCCCAAGTGCTGGGCTCAAAGGCATGTGCCATCAAGCCCTGCCTTGAAGTAATTTTCTACATTCCTTATTGACTTGAAGGGGGAAAAAAGCCTAAAAGGAAAAAAAAAACGAAAACAACAAAAAACAAAACAAAACAAAACAACAACAACAAAGTGCCACAACAAATATGTTTGTATGTTCAAAACAATTCAAAGATTTCCAACAGAGTTGATTAATGTTGGAGGAAATGAAAAAATGCTAATTATTCGGATTTGATGTCTATATGTATATATCTCACATTATTGTATTGCATCCCACAGATATGTACAAATATCCCTTATCATTTTAAAAAATGCTTGCCTGGAGCAGGAGAATCAAATGCAAGCTAGTGTGCCATTCATATTTAAAGAAACCCAACCCAATGGGATGCATGGTGCTTGCACGGCCCTTCCTTGTGTGGCACTTTCTTGCGTTCTTATTTGCATAAGCTTTGAAAAGGCATTTTTGAGGGAGACAGTGAAACCTGTCTGTTAGGTCTGATAATGGCATTTGCTGTGCACATGTCTCGGAGAGGCACACTGAAACTGCAGAGACAAAACAGAAGACTAGTCATTTGCTTTCAAATACTGCAGTTCCCTCTATGCCTACTGAAGAACAGAAACCACAGACAGACCTGGTAAGCTCTTGATACTTTCTGAACCCAAGGAGTGGGCCCATGGGGATTTATTTTATAAACTATTCTTGCATATTTCTGGAGGGGTGCATACTAAAAATTAAACTTAAAGCAACTTATACAGACAGGAGAGTGGTCCATATTTTGGTACTTGTTATGCAAGTACTTTTTACCTAAGCAGTCATGGGATTTAAGTGAGATGTGGATACAGGACAACAGACTCAGTGTCTGAAGCAAGCACCTGGGCAAACGATCCTGCCGTCCTCTTTATCACCACAATGCGCTTCACGGTGGACAGGCACCATTCCTATCTTCAAAATGACACAGCAGGGGCTCAGCAAGGTCACTTGGTAGACGTCCAGTGACAGTCACCAGGCTCAGAGCCCACGCTCTTTGTATGACTAGCTGAAGAGGCCAGGGCTCTCTAGGAACAGTGAGCGGGACTGGCAGTGCACACAACTAAACTGAAGGTCTCTAAGTCCCATGACCACCTCACACATAGAGAAAATGACAGATGGGCGAGCATTACTAAAGTGTCTCTTCTAGTTAGGGGAAGAGGGAGAACATATAAATTATTAGGGCTTAGCAAAGGCTAAATATTTACATACAACAGATATCTTGTTGATTAAATTTCACTTAAATGTCCCAAGTTAAACAAATAAAAGTTGGTGTGTTTACAATACTAAAATGTATTTTTGTCAGGCAAAATGCAGTATATTCCCAGATACTATGTCCAGGATTCTCTCTCTCCAGCATATAGTGCTGCAATAATTAAGGTCCATTAGCAAAACAAAAGCAAAGACCCCAATTAATACTTGAACCACGGCCAGGCGGTGGTGGCGCACGCCTTTAAACCCAGCACTCAGGAGGCAGAGGCAGGTGGATCTCTGTGAGTTCGAGGCCAGCCTGGTCTACAGAGCGAGATCCAGGAAAGGCGCAAAGCTACACAGAGAAACCCTGTCTCGAAAAACCAAAAAAAAAAAAAAAAAAAAAATACTTGAACCACACCAAACAAACAAACAAACAAACAAACAAAAAGCCCTCAAAATTGATCATAGACCTCAACATAAAACCCCAAATCACAAAACCTCTGGAGACCTTTATGACTTTCAGTTTGGCAAAGATTTCTTGGATATGACATCAGAAGGACAACCCATGTGCTGTGGTTTGGCTGTGAAATGTTCCCCATAGGTCTGTGTGTTTGGACACTTCGTTCCCAGCTGGTTGGGACAGGGTGGAGCAGGGCAGGGCAGGGTGGACTTTGAGGCTTTACAGCTGGGCCCCTCTTGCTGCTCTCTTTTCCCTGGTGGCCAGCTGACGTCACACTCCTGTAGCCACGCCTTCCCCACCATGAGGACTGTCTCCTTTGGAACTGTGAGCCAAAAATAAACCCTTTCTTCTCTCAGTTTCGTCACGGTATTCAATCACAGAACAGAAAAAGAAATAACATGTCATGAAGAACAAGCTGCTAAGTTCGCAATCAAAAAGTAAAACATCTGCTTTCCAAAAGAGAATGGAAGCCAAGCCAGAGACTGGGAGAAAATAATTCGAAATCAAGCATATGATAAAGGCCTACCTCCACAATAAAGAACGCTCAAAATACAATAGTAAGAGGGCCACCCAATAAAAATCTGCACAATATTCAAATTTTTCTTTCCTGAAAAAGAGACATGGGACATAAGCTCATAAACAGACTTAACACTGTTAGACATTAGACATATACAATGAAAACTACAAGATACCCAACACACACGGATTAGAATGGCTTGTTATATGACTGACCATATCAAGTGATGGTGAGGAAATGGAGGAGCCGGAACTCTCATTCACTGTTGGTGGAGATTGAAACTGACAGAACTGCTTTGGAAGATAGTCTGGCATTTTCTTTTTAAGTTAAACACACCCCTTGCATTTGACCTAGCCATTCTATTCCTAAAGAAGTGAAAGCATATTCTATTGTACATAACTTCTCAAAGCAGCTTAACCTGTCAGAGCTACAAGCAGAAATGCTCTCAAATGTTTCTCAGCAAATAAATGGGTAAGCATATTGTGGTATAACCATAAAGTGGAACACTACTGAGCAATGAGAAAAGAATAACTACATGAATGAATTTCAAAGTGATTAAGTAAAAAAATGCACATTAGCTGGGCCTGGTGGGTATGCCTTTAATCCCAGCATTCAGGAGGCAGAGGTAGGTGAATTTCTATGAGTTTGGGGTCAGCCTGGTCTATGTAGTGAGTTCCAAGGCAGCTGGGGCTGCATCGTGACAATCTATCTCAGAAGTAGATAAACACATACATAAATAAAAAAGGCAGCCCCCCCCCCAAGCTAATGGTATCTCCTGTATGAAGAACATATTGTAAGCACCTTTACACATTAAGTCACCTCGCCGGCTACCATCCATCCCTTCGGTTGGTTCCCTAAACCCTGTGGCTCCAATCTTGGTCTCAGATCACAATTTAGAGCCTTAAAAACTCCATAAGGAAAACTACTTGGCTACGTCTGTGTTGGCTTTCTTTCTAGCTTCCAAACTTGCCAAGTTCCTCCTGTCTCTGGAGGCCCTGCTTCTTCTGTAGGCTTTTCCCTGTCCTATAGGGCGGCCTTAGGCTTTCATATAACTGAAGGGGAATAATTTGTTTTATCTCTTCCTTCTGACTCTACTCAAATATCACTTCTTTATAAAGACCTCCCCAAGCTCCTGGAGGCACTAGATATGCAGGTCAGTAGTAAAGCCCTTGCCTAGCATGTACAGTGGCCTGGACTCAATTCCCACTACCAGCAAATAAGAAAAACCTCCCTGACATAGTGTCCATTTTTTTCCTGTACCTAGATCATACAACCTCTTACTGTATCATATACGTCAACATATACATCAACAAACAAATGAACATAAAACGGAGTCTATCCCAGGCAAGGTGTTGGTTCCAAGTCCTCACAGAGTCTATCTGTAAAGTGCTCCCTCCACAAGACCTTTGCCTCTGAAGCATCATTTTCTAGCCCCTTTCCTTAGGCATTTACTACTGTATTAGTTACTTTTCTGTTGCTGTGCTAAAACACCATGACCAAAAACGATTTATGGAGGAGCAAGATTACTTCCAGCTTACAAAGGGACATTTCATAACAGTGAGGGAGGCATGGTAGCAGGGGGCCAGGGCAGGAAGCTGGGAGTGAACTGGGAGCGAGGTGAGGCTATGAAATCTCAAAGCCCTTCTACAATGATGTACTTCCTCCAGAAAGGCTGCATACCTCCATAAAGAGCGCTGCCAACGGGGGACCAAGTATTCACATATCTGAGTTTATGGGGACATTTCTCACTGAAAACATTGCAATTAGAGGGTTTGCTTGTGAGCTTACCACCGAATTCCTTAGCCTATACCATTATCTGGTACACCAAATGGATGAACAGGATTTGCTGAGTGAATAAATAAATTGCACCAGATGCTGTGTTGGTTTGGATCTGAAATGTCCCTAACAGGTCCCTGTTTGGATTGTTTATTCCCAAGAGGGCCTTGAGGAGCCTTTAGGAGATGGGGCTAGGTGCCCGAAGCAGGTCATACTCCCTCTGCTTTCTGACCTGCCACCATGTGAACAGCTACAGTCAGACCACTGCCATGAACTTTGCCATGCCTTCTCCACTATGAGGGATGGAACTTGAGAGTGTAAACCTGAATAAGCTTAGCTGCTAAACTGTTTCTTCAGGTATTTGGTCCTAGCCACCTGAAAAGGAATTAATATAGATGCAATGCAGGTACAGAGTGCAGAAGAGAAACAAGTATTTCTGTTGTTCTCAAGTTCAAGATGTCCTTTTCATTCATTCAACAAGTATTTCCAAACTCCTACTGTGTCCCTGTCTCTGTACTAGAGACAGAGGAGAGTCCTGTCCTCATGAGGCTCAGTCCAGTGAGGGAAAAAGACACCCGCCTTTTATCACACACACATTGATGAAACAACCACGCTGGGAAAGAGGGGCCTAGGAGCATCTGGCATCATGGCAGGACAGGCAGAAATATAAGGCATGGTCCTGGAGAGTAGGCCGAAAGGTCACAGGATTTGTAAGCAGAATGAACAGCCCAACAGGACGTGGAGGCTGGAGAGACCCAATGAGATCAGAGTGTCTGTCCACAGACAAATGGGTGATGGCGGGGTGGGGAATCGAGTCTGGCAAGGGAGTGCAGAGCAGCTCAGGCCTTTGGGCTGTAAACTAGCAAGTTGGACATCTCAAAGCAGAGGGAAACTTTGTAAATCATTCAGCTTCCCTTTCCTGCGTCTGGAAAGAAAACAGCAGCAATATATAAATTTAAGTCAAGAGACACGGCACTTTTACTTAATGCTATACTGAGTTTCAGAAGGAAGTGGAAGGACCAAGGACTTACCAAACACACTCCCACATTGCAGGTTAAAGGGAAAGCAGGACCGGCAGGACGCCTGACATGAGGTGCAAAGGGTTATGGGAGCTGACCGAACAAGAGGAAGCAGGAGGCATTTCTAGTGTAGGAGATGAAAAGATGAGTAACCCAGGTAGGGTAGTTACAAGGACATCTTCGGAAGAACATAGGTCTAGTGCGGGGAATGCTTTTTTTAAAGCAGAAATGGTAATATGATAAATGTGCCAGCAATTGAGGCCTCTTTACCATGGGTGCTGAGCGGCAAGTTCCGACAGCGCAGACTTCACTTAGCGGCTAACAGTGAGTCCCTGAGGACTGTGGAAAGGGACAACAAAACCAAAGCCATTCTAGAAAGAAAAATGAGACTGGGAAGAGGTCACCAACTGCAGGATGCGGGCTGAAGAACAGGAATACTGGCAGAAGTGGGGGTAAGGAAGGGTGGGGTTAGGTGTAGTATGGACGCCCCCATCTCCTTCCAGGGCCAACCTTACTTTCTACAAAGAATCCCACCCTGCAGCTCAGAGCAGCCTGGACAGTCCCTATTGGCAATATACTTAAGTTTTGGGGTTCCAGACCTCGTCGCTGATCTCCCTCTATTTTCCACACGCCAAAGCATCTTTTAGGAGCCAAAGAAACAGCCCAGGACCAAGGGGCGAAAACCGTCTCACAGAAAGGGTGCAGCCTGAACCTGCTGCTGCCGTCCAGCAGATGCAGACTGCCTTAAGTCCCTCTCAGACCGCTCCCCCTCCCACGACACGCTGGGTAGAACTGTACCCGGCGGCGCCGATGACAGAAGACGAGGTGGAAGCTCTAAGGCTACCGGGGTTAAAGGCGAGCGCTGGCGAACCTCTCCCACTTCAAGATGCATAATCCCACGGCCGTTTCTTTCTCATCTGAGCAGGTGATTGTTAACACCAGTCCCCAGTCTCGAAAGTCAGACCCCACATCCCCCCGCACCCCCACTCCCGGCGTCGAGGTCCCCGCGCCCCGTCCTGCCGCTCCCCTGGCCCCCACCACGCTCTCACCTGCGCATTGCCGCCTGCCCCCGCCGTGGCCTCAGTTGGGTGCCCTCGCCGTGTGCGGGGGCACAGATGCTTTTGGGGGAGCTGGGCGGGCTCAGCAAGCTGCCAGCCACTGGGCCGCTGGTCAAGGCCCGGCTCACCGGATTCTAGGGGCTGGGCGGCGCGGTACTCAGAGAACAACTTGCAGACCACTTGGGTCTTGCTCACCACCGCCTCCCAACCACGCATTGTTTACTGTTGCTAAGGTACCGGGGCGGGGCGTGCAACAATTGGGCGGAGCCTGGCTGGCCTTCCTACGCCGAGGGCTCTGTGTTCGTGCTCTGATTTGGCTGCGGACTGGGCTGTCGCTTTTCGCTTTTCTTCGCTGCTGTTGACAATGGCTGCGAACCCCAACTAGGCGCTGACTAAGATAGTTTTGCCCCTGGCGGGGCGACTGGGCGGGGCACGAAGAGAAGAGGCGGGCCACCCAGATACGCAGCTTTGCCTTTGGGTGGGAGAGGCTAGGGAGAGAGAGCAGGCTAAACCACTCTCTGGAAACCACCGCAAACTCCTTGACCTCTCCTGGAAAACAAGAATAAGGTCTCTGAGGGTTGAAGTGAAGAAAAGTCGGTTTTAAAAAAAAAAAAAAAGTCTGGTACAGGCAGGAGGAGAGGAAGGTGGGGCAGGGTTCTTATATTCTGGGTGGGATTGATCTTGTGACTTCACCCTCTTCTCCTAGAATGCGTTTAGGGCACAATTCTTGCTTTTTATAACTCTCACCATTCCATTTTATTCACTAAGTGGTTATTATATGTTTGCCAAGTGCCTGACTCCCCGCTTGCCGTGGGGATTCAGCATCCAACATGGGGCAAGGTTCTTGAAGGTAAATGTTGGAGGAGGGAGGGGGGAACAGAGTTAAGCGGAAGGGTGTGAAATGAAATGAAATTGGCCACAACTAAAAGTGATAGGTGCAAAGAGCTGGCGGTTAAGAGCACTGGCTCATGCAGGGGACCCCAGTGTGGTCGCAGCACCCGCATGGCAGGTGGGCGACACACCACTTCCTGTTGCCTGCAAGTGGAGATAAAGGACACTTGGCTACTTCCTCAGCATCATGTCTGCCTGCTCGCCACCATGTTGCACTATGAAGATAATGGACTAAAACTCTAAAAATGTAAGCCACACCAACTGAATGTTTTTCCTTTACAAGAGTTGCCGTGGTCATGGTGTCTCTTCACAGCAATAGAAACCCTAACTAAGACATACACATAAAATAATAAAAATATATCTTTAAGAAAAACTCACCTTTGGGGCTTGGAGACATGGCTCAGAAGTTCAGGGCACTCGTTGCTCTTGCAGAGGACTGGAGTTCGATTCCCATCAACCACATGGTGGTTCACAACCCTCTGTAACTCCAATTCTAGGGAATCTGATGTCCTCCTCAGACCTCCATGGTCACCAAGCACACACATGGTGCACATACATACATGCAGGCAAAACATACATAACATAAAATGAATAGATCTAATAAAGATGTTTTTAAAGCGATAGGTGCTTTTCAGTCAGTTGCACTGCTTTGCCGTGCTGGGGCTCGAGCCCCGGCCTCTGCAGGCTAAGCAGGCGTCTCACCGAGGAGCCACCCCTTCAGCCCTTCAGCCTCTGCACATTCCGTCTAGATTAGTGATTTGGGAGGGCTTTCTGAGGAGGGAATGTCAGAACCGAGGTCTAGATGGCAAGAAGCAGTCAACTCCTGTCAAAATCATGGGCAGGACGTTGTAAACCCAGGGTAGAGGAGGAGGGTGAACCATGAAACAGGGCGAAAGTCCTGAAAGGCTCAAGCAAGGGTAAGTTTTGCTAGCTTTTCTCTGGACTGGTTAATGAAATGATTTCTGAAAGGGAGTATATTTGTTCTTTGGAGTTTTCATTGATAAGACTATGTTTTGTCTGGCAGTTTTTTTTTTTTCACGAATTTATGTATCCTTGATGTGGTAAATCCCACTCATGTTTTCTCCTTTGTGGACTGGATTTTTTTTTGTTTTGTTTTGTTTTGTTTTGTTTTTCAAGACAGGGTTTCTCTGTGTAGTTTTGGTGCCTGTCCTGGAACTCACTCTCTAGACCAGGTTGGCCTCGAACTCACAGAGATCCACCTGCCTCTGCCTCCCGAGTGCTGGGATTGAAGGCGTGCACCACCACCGCCCGGCACTGACTCTTCTTTTTAAAGATTTATTTATTTTACGTTATGAGTGCTCTATCTGCATGTATGCCTGCAGGCCAGAAGAGGGCATCAGATCCCACTATAGATGGTTGTGAGCCACCATGTGGGTGCTGGGAATTGAACTCAGGTCCTCTGGAAGAGCAGCCAGGGCTCTGAACCGCCGAGCCGTCTCTCCAGCTCCGTGGACTGGCTCTTAATCCAAGGATCTGGGGTGGCCCACTTTCCCTGGCTGTACTTCTCTGTTTTTCTTTCCAACTTTCCAAGGTTAACCCTATGGGGAATCATTCCAAAATTTGTTCCCCCTTTTCATGTGATCAACAACTTTATGGTTGTGGTGGTGATGCCATGGTGAAGTATATATAAGGCCAAGAAGAAAATTTGGGAGTGATGATGGGGTGGTTTGAATGGTAATAGCCCCCATAAGCTCATGTATTTGAATGGCTGGTTCTTAGTGGGTGGAACTGTTTTGGGAAGGATTAAGAAGTGTGGTCTTGCTGTCACTGGGGGTGGACTTTTGAGGTTTCAAAGTCCATGCCAGACCCAGCCCTCCCTCCCTCTGCCTCCAACTTGTGAATAAGATGTGAGTGCTCCAGCACCATGCCTACCTGCCTGCTGCTGTGCTCCCCGCCGTGATGTGCTCCCCGCCGTGATGATCATGGACTCTGCCGAAACTGTAAGCAAGCCTCCCATGAAATGCTTTCTTCCCTCAGTTATTCACTGTGTCTCTTCACAGCAATAGAACAGTGCCTGAGACAGACGGTGATAGACTTTATTCTGAGGGAGGCAATACTTACACAAATTGAGGGCTCACTACATTATCTGAATAGCTCGGAGCAAAATGGAAATATAGAGAGCAAGAAAAGAAACCATTAAAGAATACTCAACTAGCCGGGCAGTGGGAGCGCACGCCTTTGATCCCAGCACTCGGGAGGCAGAGGCAGGCAGATCTCTGTGAGTTCGAGGCCAGCCTGGTCTACAAAGCGAGATCCAGGAAAGGCGCCAAAAGTACACAGAGAAACCCTGTCTCAAAACAAAAACAAAAACAAAAACAAAAAACAAAACAAACAAACAAAGAAAAACCAGAAAGAATGCTCAGCTATACAACTTGTCCCTCCCCACCTCAGCTCCTGACTCTCCCGGGTCTCCGTATAGTACTACACACCCCAGTGAGCCCCAACTGTCCCTTGCACCACACCCTGCCCAGCCTGACTTTGCCTGCTGTTCCACCTCTCTCCCAGATCACTGCTCGGCTTGAGCTGTCTTTGCCTGGGCTGCTGCCGTCCCGCCATCCCACTACCCCTTTGGTTTCGACACTCCTTTGTAGTTTAAAGCACGGATTTAAACGTGGGCCACTCATTTTCGAAATCCACCGGTGGCTATGTCCTACCAAGAGCTAGGACTGCTTTGGTTTGGCCTCTGTGGCTTTTCATAATCCCTCAGTCTGCTTTTCTAGCTCTCTTCTCCACACACAACAGACTTTATTTTTGTCACACTCATTCCCCTCTGGGGTTTTGTGGTACCGTCACACCTCTTGGCCTCTGCTGCCCCTTCTACCTTGAAGGTCCTATTGATCGGAAGCCTTGTTGACGGCGAAGGTCTGGCAAACCGTACCACCTCTGGAGCAAAGCTCTTGCCTGTCAGACTGGCCTGGGTCTCTGCTGCAACTATGTTAGGTACACATTTGCTCACTTGCCTTCTCCACAGGGAGCAGCATCTCTTAGGGGCATGATTATATGCTGCGATAGTGATGACAGACAAGGAGCACGTTTCCTGAGTCAGTGGGAAGTATTGTCCCTTCCTTGTACCACTGGCTACTTCCTGCTCACTGACCTCTGAGCCTGAGTTCCTGGAAGACGCAGAAGCCATTTTCTGTTGCTATAAGAGACCCAAGGTTAGGGATAACAACAGATTTATTTAGCACACAGTTTTGGAGACTGAAAGGTCAGGAGTTCCTTCAGTTTGTCCTTTTGTGGGGTCGTAATGGTAGATGGCATCAGGACAGGGATGCATCACAGAATGCAGTAAGAGAGGGAGCCAGAAATACTTAGTGGTCAGGCTCACTCTTTATAACAATCCAGTCTTTCCTTCTATTTCTTCTCTTTGCCTCCTGAGTGCTGAGATTACAAGTGTGTGCCACCGTGTCTGCCTTAAGAAGAGCTGGCAAGCTTTCTACTTCTCTTCCTTTCTTTCTTCCTTCCTTCCTTCCTTCCTTCCTTTCTTTCTTTCTTTCTTTCTTTCTTTCTTTCTTTCTTTCTTTTCTTTCTTTCTTTCTTTCTTTCTTTCTATTTATTTAATGTGCACATTTGTCTGTGTGAGGGTGTCAAGTCCCCTGGAACTGGAGTCACAGATATTTGTGAGCTCCCATGTGGGTGCTGGGAATTGAACCCGGGTCTTCTGCAAGAGCAGCCAGTGCTCTTAACCTCTGAGCCGTCTCTCCAGTCCCTATTTTTCTTTCTTATAGTGCTGGGGACCTAGCTCTGAGCGGCATCTCTAGCCCAAGAGTCCACTCTTGGAAGAACTACCTAAATACCAGTGACCTAACTAACTTCTAATAGGCCCCACTTCTTTTTAATTTTAATTTTTTACATTTATTTGTATATGCGTGTGAGCGTTTGCCAATGTGGAGGTCAGAGGACAGCTGTGGGAGATGGTATTTTCTTTCTTCCCTATGGGTACCACTCAGTCTTCAATTTTGTGCTAAGTGCCTTTACCTAGTACCATCTTGCCATCTCTGGTTTTGAGACAGGATTTCATCACGTAGCCCTGGGTGGGCTGAGACTCACTGTGTAAACCAGGTTGTGATTGAACCCATGAATGTTTCTCCTGAGTACTGGGGCCTTGGTCTATTTTTTTTTTTCTTTTTTGAGAGGGTTTTGCTATGAATACTCACTCCAAAGGAAAATGTTGGCGGAAGAGAGGAAGGGTGGATATGATGTAAATACAGTGTGCTTATGTATGAAATTCTCAAGTTCGAATTTAGAAAATCAAACAAAAACGCCATTTATCTTACGTTCTTCCTGTCTCAGCCCCTTGAGTGCTTGGAGTCTGGGATTATGCCATGGTGCCTAGCCCACCACCTCAGTATTGCTACACTGGACATCAAGCTTCTAACACATGACCTTTTCAGGGACACATGCCATATTCAAACTGTAGCATTTCCCCTAGTCTCCCACTTGTTTCTGGGATCTGCATCATGCCCCTGGCTCAGCTCACACTTGTGTAAACATCCCATATCTATCTGCCTCTTGCTGCACTCCAAGTGGGGCCTGATCTCCAAGCCCTGTCCTCAGTACCATGTCCTCTCTCAGTAACCCACACTCACCTGAGTGAGTCTAGTGATGTCATCTTGCAGGATAAATAGTCTCTGTAATGACGGATGACCTCTGTCTGCGCCCAGTCTTCAGCCCTCATGACCCCTGTACTACTTTCCTCCTCCTGGTCCATTATCAGGGGTACCACGCCCTCCCGTTACCAGCCCTTTGTCTTCGCTGACTCATTTCCATCTGTCTTGAAGGAAGCCATCACCCTAGGCCTGGGTGCCCTTTGGAAAGCACTTGTATCAAACCCTCCCTTGACATGCTCGTCATGACGGACTTCCGCCCTTTCAGCACTGTAGGTGACACTAAGAGAATCCTGACAGCAGGCAGCTGGTGAGCATGCCACACATGCCATGGCATCGCTTCAACCAGTGAAACCGCTTCTGCTGTGGGCTGAAGTTTCTCAGTCTGAGAAGGACTAACTTGAACCAGATTCATTCCACTGAGTCAAAGCCCTTGCTTTCTGTCCCGTTTGCTTTCTATTGCTGTGATAAGCACCATGACCAAAGAGCAGCTTCGAGGAGGATGGGGTTGATTTGGCTTATAAACATTCCGATCAGTGACGGACTCATCATTGAGAGAAGTCAGAGCAGGACCTCATGCAGGAACAGAGGCAGGAATGGAGGAACATTGCTCACTGGCTTGCTTCTAGAACCCAGAACCACCTTCCCAAGGGTGGCACCACCCACAGTGGGTGAGCCCTCCCCCATCAATCATTAACCAAGACAATGCCCCACAGATTGCTACAGCCAATCTGACGGAAGCAAGTCCTTGAGATTCCCTCTTCCCGGATATGTATAGGTTTGTGTCAAGTTGGCAGACCAGACCAGCACCCTCTTTCACCTGAGCTGCTAACCACCAAACTGACTCAGGAAGGTGCTCTGGACTGGAGGCCAGAGATGTAGATTTGTCTTATTACATAATAGTTGTGGAATTTGGAACAACTCTCCGAATTGTGTTTCCTTTTTTTTTTTTTTTTTTTTTTGATTTTTCGAGACAGGGTTTCTCTGTGTAGCTTTGCGCCTTTCCTGGAACTCACTTGGTAGCCCAGGCTGGCCTCGAACTCACAGAGATCCGCCTGGCTCTGCCTCCCGAGTGCTGGGATTAAAGGCGTGTGCCACCACCGCCCGGCCGAATTGTGTTTCTTATAGTTTCCTATGAGGATGATAGGGCAGCATAAAAGTGAAAATGCCTTGGAATTTAATGTCTTTCCATGAGCCCTACTTTAAAAGATATAGGACGTAACTAGAGAGATGGCTCAGCTGTTAAGAGCTCATGCTACAATTACAGAAGCCCTGGGTTTGATTCCAGGCATCCACACAACAGCTCACAACCATCTGCAACTCCAGTTCTAGGGTAAATGCCCTCTCTGGCCTCCAGAGTAGCAGACATGCATTGATGCATATACATACATACACTTATAAGTAAAAATAAGCCAGTCTTTAAAAAAGATACTTAACCTGAAGTACAAGAAAGTATGATCTTCCAGTGGGGTGTAAAATGGTCTCATGGCAATTGGAAGAACTTCAATGGCAGGACTTTCTTCGCTGGCAGGTTAGTTAGCCTTCACACAGGAAGAGCCTTGTTACTGATCTAGGAGGAGGGAGGTGAGCTGCTAAGGTGTAGAGCAGAATGGAGCTTTAGTATGACACACTGAAGGTTATTGGTAGAATCAAAGGATGGTGTCATTGACTATCTATTATGCATTCTCTTTAGTGCCAGATCATTTAAGAATCTCCTGTGGGGGCTGGAGAGATGGCTCAGTGGTCAAGAGCACTGGCTGCTCTTCCAGAGGTTCAATTCCCAGCACCCACATGACCTCTCACAACTGTCTGTAACTCCAGTTCCAGGGGATCTGATACTTTCACACCAATGCACATAAAATAAATTATTAAAAAAAAAAAAAAAAGGCCGGGCAGTGGTGGCGCACGCTTTTAATTCTAACACTCGGGAGGCAGAGGCAGGTGGATCTCTGTTAGTTCGAGGCCTCTGGTCTACAAAGCGAGTTCCAGGAAAGGCACAAAGCTACAGAGAAACCCTGTCTCGAAAAACCAAAAAAAAAGAATCTCTTGGGGCTGAGGTGGTACTCGGTGGCGTAGTACTTGCCTAGAATCTCTTGGGGCTAAGGTGTGCTCGGTGGCGGAGTACTCGCCTACATGCATAAAGCCCCTTGCCACAAAAAGTAAAAGGACTCATTTGGAGTCAGGTGTGCTGTCACATTTTTGTAATCCCAGCATGTGGGAGGCTGGAGAGTTCGAATCTAGCCTAGGCTACATAGTGAAACTGTATCTCAAATAATTAAATAAAAATAAATAAAACCCCATAATGTTGAGGACTTAAAATAGAGTGTTTTTTCCCCCACAAGAACTGAACAAATCCTACAATGTAAATGGGAGGATGTTAAATTTGGATAGCTATTGAATCTCACTTCAGCAAAGCTATGGTTCATTTTATCTATTTATGAATACACATCTTTATGCCTTCTTTATAAATAGTAAAAACTAACTGTGCTCTTGTTAAAAAACATGACCAGAATTGAAGCATGCATTCTTGGAATAGCTAAATTTGGGAGTGTTTTCCCACTATCTTTCTTAGAAGTTAGACTTGGAAATCCCACTTTTGTCCTTTCTTCTCTATTCCTCCCTCCCTTCCCTCCTTTTTCCTTTTCATTTCATAAAGTGTTCATTTCACAGAGAACCTCATATCCATCGTAGTCCTCATGCTGGAGAGGAAGAGGCCAGCAAACCACCACCAACAACCACAGCAGTGTCTTCTGGAGGAAGCTCCCCCTGGTCAGCCAGTCGGGTTCTGGCAACAAGGGCCTCAGGTGCAGTGAGGCCAGCTGGGGTGGACCTCCGGAGGAACAGCAAGAGCTCGGATCAGCAAATTGTGGGAAGGGATGGAGTTCATAATTTGGAGTTGAAGGGCCTTAAATCTTTTGTAAATCCTAATTCTGCTGACACAGCACAAAAGCAATGCCCTAGAACATCTACATGAACGGACATGGCTGCACTCCAAAGCTTTGTGGAAAGGGAAACTTGAATTCCATGGAAGTGTCCTGTCAGAAAATATTTTTCTTCATTGGGTTTCCCCCCTCAGTCACTTAAAAATGTGAAACCAGGTTGGTGGTATGGCTCAGTAGGTGGAATTCTTACCTCGTATGCATGAAGCTGTGAGTTCGATCCCCAGCACCACATAATGTGGTCATAGTGGCATACGTTGCTAATCTCAGTACTTAGACAGTGGAGGCAGGGGGATCAGAAATTCAAGGTCAGGGCTAAAAATTGGCTCAGTCTGTAAAATGCTTGTTGCTCAAGCATGGATTTAGATCTGCAGCAAGCATGTAAAAGATTTGATAACCTTTGGCCTCCACACGTGCAAACACACACACACACACACACACACACACACACACACACACACACACACACACACACAAAACCATGTACCTCCACCTAAAAAGCTCAAGGTCATCCTGGTGACATAGTGAGTTTGAGACCAGATGGACCTACAAGAGAATCTGTCGGAAAAACCAAAACCCAAAGAACCAAAAGACATAAAAACCTTACCTCATTCATGACTTGTACAAAAACCAATGTAGAGAACTGAAGTGCTCTTTATTCCTCGTGGGTGGGGGCCCTTTGAGAGGGAGAGACATAAAATAAGTCACAAATTATCTCTCAGTGATGTTTAGCAGGCATTATCTCGGCCCTCACACGTTTAACCCTTACAGCCAGCGACGGTAGCCGTGGCAGTGGGTTTCCATCACTGTGACAAATTGCCTGAGACGGTCAGCTTAAAGCAAGGAGAAGGTCTGACTCACAGTTTCCGTCTACAGCTGCTGGGCCCTGCAGGGCACTGGGCCTGTAGCCAGACAGGATGCCACGGACAGAGTGCGTGACAGATGAGGCCACTCAACTCATGGTGACTGAGGAGGGGGGAGAGGAAGGGGTCAGCATCCCAGTGTCCCCTCCAAGTGTCCCCAGTGACTTCACTTCCTTCCCCTGAAGGTTCTATGCCCCCCCCCAGTAGTGCCACAGGCTTTGGGGGGACATTCAAGATCCAAACTCTAGCAATCAGTATTATCGCCCTTCTGAGGCACAGAGGTGGTAAGTGACTTGCCATGTATCACAGAGTCAGGACTGGTCCCCAACTGTCTACACCACTATGCCATGCTACCTTTCTGGGTAAAATATCGTGGGGCTCAGAAATGTTTTCACATGAAGAATCTTTATCTTGCCAGTTCTATTAAGCATTTGAACAGAAAGTTAACAAATGTACAAAGTCATGTTTCCACTCGAAGGCAAGGGGACAGATGGCACACTGTCTTAGAAGGAAGCCACTGTCATCAGAGGTGTCTGGGCAGAGGTGGGATGACTTTTGTATTCTGCAGTTCCTTAGAAAGACTTTGGCATTTCCTCCAAAGTAAAAATTTAAAAGGCTTGTTTTTAAAGTTTAAATCTGGCCAATTACTAAAGCCCAAAGCCTCAACACCTCCCCACGGCACACTCAGACACAATCTCAATACAAGTATAGAACTTGGGAGTCTGAATATCCAGACCTGCTGGGAGGAAATTATATTTCAGATTGAGTTGGCCTATTGCTATCAAGTGAGCCCCTCCCCCATCCCAACACACACACACACACACACACACACACACACACACACACACACACACACACACACCACACACACACCCCACATTTTCCCACTTACATTTTTTTTTTCTGAAGAATACTTTAAGGTGGTATCAGGGAAGAACTATCTAATTATTAAATAACCACAACTGTCTGTTGCTGTGACAAACCCCATGACTGAAAGCAACTTGAAGAAGAGAGTCAATTTCACTGGACAGCTTGTAAGTCATCACTGAAGGGAAGCCAGGGCAGGAACTAAGGGGAGAAATACCGAGGCAGGAATGAAGCACCAGCCCCGGAGCCCGTAAGCTCATTCCCCGTGGTTTACTCAGCCTGCTTTCTTACACCCTCCAGGACCACCCATCCAGTGGAGGCACTGCCCTCAGGGGCATGGACCCATCTACAGCAATCTTGATCAAGAAAATGCCTGCAGGCCAGTCTGGTGGGATATTTTCTTAATCAAAAGTTCCCTCTTCCAAGCTGGGCAGTGGTGGCACACACCTTTAGTCCCAGCACTTAGGAGGCAGAGGCAGGCGGATCTCAGAGTTTGAGGCCAGCCTGGTCTATAGAGCAAGTTCTAGGACAGCCAGAGTCACACAGATAAATCCTGTCTCAAACCCTCCTCCCCCTCAAAAAAGTTCTCTCTTCCAGAATTACTCTAGCCTGTGTTAAGTTGACATTAAAAACTAGCCAGCCCAACAATGTTGTTATAGAACTGTCTGTCAAATGGCCAGTCATGGTGACTCATGCCTGTAATTCCAGCACTTGGTAACCTGAGGCAGGAGGATTAGGAGTTCCAAGTTGAGTCAAGGTTACAGAGTGAGACCCCCAACTAAATATAAATAAATAACTCCAAGATAAACAAATGAATGATCAGAAGAATAGAACAGCTTGCATTGCATTCCCAAACACTTACAAAGTGGTAAGGAGAGCCAGGTGGTGATGGCGCATGCCTTTGATCCCAGCGCTGGGGGAATTGGGGTGGGGGTGGGGTGGGGGGCCGGGCAGAGGCAGGTGGATCTCTGAGTTTGAGGCCAGCCTGGTCTGCAGACTGAGTTCCAGGACAGCCAGGGCTACACAGAGAAACCCTCCCTCGAAAAACAAGACAAAGTGGTAGGGAGAATATAGGGAATTTGGGGAGTTTTCTGAAAGGATTAAAAAAAATCACATTGGTAGTGATTACTTCTAGGACACAAGATAGGAAAGCAGGTCGGGGAGACTGCACTCTTCATTGCGTGCCACTGTTTCTGAGTTCTGCACATGTATCATCTTAGCAAAAATACTAGCAAATAACCCTAGCTTGACACTCACTCCTTCATATATCCTTTCTTCAAGTCTGAAAATTTTTGCTTGATTCTATACTTTCGTTTTTGAACAAAAATAAATTACCTTATTTCTAATAATGATAAAAGAAAACCAATTAATTTTGCTATGTTTTACGGGTTTTTTTTGGAGTGTGTTGCGTGCATACATATGTTGAGGTATGCGTGCAATGTGTGCATGAATGTGGAGGCCAGAGGTCAATGTCGGATGTCTTCCTCAATTGCTCTCCACCTAATTTTTTAGACAGGGTCTGTCTCTGAGCCTGGAGCTTACTGATTTGTGTAGACTGGCTGGCCGTGGAGCCCCCATCCTTCTACCCAGGTATCGGGGTATATCTTAACCCAGCGGTTACAGGCTTGTGCCACTCCGTTTGGCTCTCTGTGGTACCAGGTCCCCATTCCGGCACAGCGAGCACTTTACCGACTGAGCTGTCTGTCCAGACTCCTTTATTTAGGTTTTTGATGAGTGTTAGTTGGCATAGTGAGTTGAATAGATCGTTCACACTCTAGCCCTCAGACACCATGACTGTTATCTTGTATAGCAAAACGTTGAGTATTACCATATAAGGCAAAAGATGTGATCAAGTTGAGGATTTTCCGAGAGAAGTCTATCCGGTGGGCCTTAAATGCAACCACGTGGATTCTCAGGAAGGCAAAGCTGAGGAGATTTTGAGAAGAGGACACTTTGGGACCACAGAGGCGAAGACTGGAGTGATGTGCGCAAACAAAGGGAATCCCAAAACTCCTAGAAGCTGGAAGAGGCACGGAGCAGTTCTTCCGAGAGCCTCTGGAAGGAGCGCAATTCTAGTGAGAGCTTGTCTCAAACTTCTGGCCTCCAGGATTTTCAGTGAGCTTGTGGGACTTTCTGTTTGCAGCACTGGGGATTGAACCTAGGACCTTGTACCTGCAAGGAAACTGTTCTACCATTGAGCTATATACTCTGTCCTATTTATGTTGTTGTTTTAAATGTTATTATTTATTTTACATCCCCACCGCAGTTACCTCTCCCTCCTCTCCTCCCATTCCCTCCCCATTTATGTTAAGGTCACCCAATTCCCCATAATTTGTAACAACCCTAGGAAATTAATAGAGTAAGGAAAATATACAGCCAATGGATATTTGTGGTTCTTCTGATCCACACACCAAAAGTTGTCAGTACTGTATTGCTACTTAATTCTGACACAGAGGGTTGTTACTGATGATATTGAAGTGGTGATGTTCTTTTTAAAAAAGACTTATTATTTTTATTTTACGTGTATGAGTGTTTTGCCTGTATGTATTTAAGTGCACCATATCTGTGCAGTGCCTGCGGGGTCCAGAAGAGGGCACCGGATCCCCTGAAACGAGTTAAAATTGCGAGTTGCCATGTGGGTGCTGGGAACTGAACCCAGAACCTGCTGAAGTGCTCTTATGCACTGAGCCATTTGTCCAGCCCCCAAACAGTGAGGTTCTTGTCAATGAAAACACAATAGGTTAGATGGTCACTTAGGAGGTGCTTTATCAAAGGAAGTCCTCCTGTGCTTGGAGATTGGCCTAAATAGCCTCAGATCCTTTTCATTTCAAGAATCTGTATCTTAGTCTGTTCTGGCTGCTATAAAACAATGCTATCACCTGGAAGCCGGGGAGTCCAGGACCAGAGCAGACTTAGGTGTCATGCTCACAGATAATGCCTTCTTACTCTATTAACAGTAGGCGTGAAAGTGCTCCCAGGTATTTTTAATACAAGCACTAGTCATTCTTGAGGCTTTGCCCTCATGACCTTTGTCCCAAAGGCTCCACCTCCTAGTACTCTTACTTTGAGGACTAGGGTTGCAATAGAAGAAGAATTGAGAACAGGAATACACATTCAGTGCAACATATTGCCATATAACAACTTGGTTCCAATAACAGGGTTGGTGTTTTAAGGAGTATAACAGACTTTGGGAAGTTAATTAATTTGGACTATGTTCTCTCTCTCTCTTTTTTTTTGGGGGGGGTGGTTTCAAGATAGGTTTTCTCTGTGTAGCCTTGGCTGTCCTGGAACTAGTTCTGTAGACCAGGCTGGCCTCAAACTCAGAGATACACCTGCCTCTGCCTCTTGAGTGCTGGGATTAAAGACGTGGTCACCACAACTGGCTGAGAATGTTCTTAAGTGAGGTGGCTGGGATTTTTTGTTTTTTGTTTTTGTTTTTACTAATTTTGGCTTTTTTTTGTTTGTTTGTTTTTTTTTTTTTTTTTTTTTTTTTTTTTTTTTTTTTTGGTTTTTTGAGACAGGGTTTCTCTGTGTAGTTTTGTGCCTTTCCTGGAACTCACTTTGTAGACCAGGCTGGCCTCGAACTCACAGAGATCCGCCTGCCTCTGCCTCTGCCTCCAGAATGCTGGAATTACAGGTTTATGTTGTCATGCCTGACCTGGGTGGAAAGGTTTGAAGGCAGAGATGTTGGTAGCAGGAGATGGCTAGTATTAGCTGTGTTTGTTAAAATATTACAAACAAGTAATGGTTCAAAAAGAAAATAAGCAAAACAACAAAACTGGCCTGTTCTCAAGCAAGGATAGGGAAAAGGTAATTCAGAAATTTCAAGATTTACCAAAGGTTGAATATTGCAAATGTTTATTCAGCTTATGAAAATGCTTTGAATCAAAAGGCTGTTTTAACGCATTGCCCTAAAGACCAAACAGAATGTGATATTCGAAAAGCCCCAGTAAACTCTTTCACTGGACAAAAAGGCCCAAAGAAAAGAGACTGACAGAAGGACTCTACAGAGACCTGCTACACTCAGAGGACCTGTACCCAAATCTAGGGAGGCATGCAGAGGAGTTGTGGTTCTAACTACCGGCAAACAAGCTAACTGGGATAAGACTTTCAAAATGCGTTTGATAATGACTGTTCAAAATATAAAATGACTTTTGTGACTCAACAGTCCTTAACCAAAACATACACTCAGGAAGATATTCAGCCACCAAGAATACAAAAGGAACGTTCTCTCATCCCTTTTCAGACGTAGCAATGGCTATTAGAAAAGGACTAACTCCCGTGTTCCCTTGCCCCCAGTGGACATCTTTAATGTTTAATAGCTCATCAATTTCTCTGAGGCTACAACTGGAATTTCATCCTATTTCCATGCAGAGTCATAAACAGTAACCTACATGGAAAAGAGAACTAAGCTCTTACAGCTCACTTTCTTTTACAAGCAGAATATAAATAGATGTACTCTAGAATGTGCAATGGTTTAGTCACTAAGGAATTTAAATGGGATCTTGAAGAATACAGACAAGTCCCAGTGCAGTAAAGATGAGCCGAGGTGGGCGACTGTTTAAGGGTTCCTGGTGCTGCACCTCTTGGCCACCAGCTGAACCTTGTGCTAACACCAAATGGAGATAGAAAACACTAAATCGACTTAGCAGCTGTGCACAGGAACCCAAAGGCAGGAAAATACTAAACATTGCTGAGAGCATCCATCTCAGGATGGACTTTACCTCCCAGGAGCTTTAGGTTGGCACACGGCTCACACGCTGATCTTATCCTCTTGGCATAGTGTGTGGCAAAGCCTCCACTACCTATGACAGTGAGGCAACCCCGGACGTGACTTTCACCACCGCCTCAGTGAGGGACTTGGCTTCCCTGGAAAAGCTTCCCGTGGAAATACCCCCCTAATAGGTCCATTCCAAACAATCCGCTCAGCTGCACCAGCCTCAGGTACTCCTTTTGGCTGTCAGTACCTGAGGCCATCTGGTCAACAGTTAGGCCAGAGGCCACGGTAGCTTGGTTAGTCTTATCAAACTTGTTAGCGGTGGTGAAGTCAGCAGGAAGGCAATCTTCACGCTGGTTTCCCCAGCTTTGGACATGAGATCTTGGATAATATTGGCCCCATCATCATACAGAGAAGTGTGAACCTCCACGTTACTTGCTTTAAAGAAGGTAAACGCCATTCCACGGACAATGACTTTGTACAGCATTTATTAATCAACTGGGTCTTGTTTGCAACTTCAGCTCTGCCCAAGATGGCTAGGATCACTTCGGACTCTCTACAGCCTTGGCAAAGTAGTTCAGCTCCTTCATAAAAAAAAAAATACCAGCCTTCTGTGGAAGATTCAGACCCGCCATGTACCTGTGGGCTCAGTGCAGCCCCCAAAGCATTGTTGACATAGGCATTCCTTCCTTTGGACCGTGAAGCTGGGGAAGCATCTTTTTTTTTTGGTCTGGCTTAGCTATAACCTTGCTCCCAGAAGCATCTTTTCCCCTTCCTCCTTCCTCCACGTGGAAGTGGAGGTTCTCCAGTCAGATGACAAACCCAGCCGCTGGGTTGGCATGGCTCTCTCTATTTCTGGGCCCACACAAGAACAGAACATTCTTGTCTAGCAGAGATTTGAGTTCTGCAGCAACTGCTTCTAAGGAGTGCTTGTCACCCATGGGACACCATCAGGTGGCTCATAAGGACGCCTGGCTTGGCTCCATGTCCAAGCAGAACTGGATGCTTGGAACAGCCATCTTGATCCTTTGGCTGTTTGTTATCGGGTTGTTCTTCGTAGGCACATCGAAGTGCACTCTCACAATCACCCAGCTTGTCCACCAGCTTGTTAGAAAGCAACCTGTTGGCAACACTCCGGGTGAAGAAGTCAGCTGAGGAAGAGACTGCTAGAGCTGGCGTGGGCTCCTGAAGCAGGCACCTTTTTTGAGACAAGGACTTCACTATGTAGCCCAGGCTGGCCCCCAAACCACAATCTTCCTGCCTCAGTTTCTAAGTGCAAAGAAACCGGTTTCTAACCTCACAGAACATTAAAAGCAAGGAACTACTTCTATAGAGCAGCCTTCCTATCCAAGGGAACAGGACATTCATTACATTTGTTCAGTGGGATTACAGAATCACTATGGATCAATATAAACCAAAGTTCAAGTTCATCTTCATCACATAACAAGGGCAAGTCCAGCCTGAGCTGCATGAGACCCCACCTCAGAAACAGAACAAAACAAAAACAGACTTACTGACAAAAAGTGTGTAGGTTTAAGATGTACAAAGATACCCTAGTGCTGGGCGGTGGTAGGACAGGAACAGATATTCATCAGCATGACCACAGAAGCATCACACCATCCCATACCTGTCATCCTTCAGGTGGAGGATGCTTCTCTGGCCCACAGTTGGGCTTGTCCATGTGAGCTGATTTTGGCCAATGACATGAACAATTTGCCTTCTGCCGTATCCAAGCAGGAGCTCTGAAATGTCCTTTCATGGTATGGTTTGTTTCTTGCTTTTGCCTTTTACTATGAACCAGTATGTCCTAGGTAGGGACATCTATCCAGCCTCATGCCAGAATAAGAATAATTCTAGGGAAAAGCCAATCCAGTAATCTAAGGCCAGTCGAGTGGCTGACTCCAGACCCATGATGATGACATAAACATTTGTTAGATCATTGAGATTTGTAGTTCTATATTTATCCTGAATCCTTTTCTATCTAACATAACTTTAAGATTATCCTGTGAGCCGGGTGGTGATGGCACATGCCTTTAATTCCAGCACTCAGGAGGCAGAGCCAGGTGGATCTCGGTGAGTTCGAGGCCAGCCTGGTCTACAGAGCGAGATCCAGGACAGGCACCAAAACTACACAGAGAAACCCTGCCTCAACAACCCCCCCTCCCCCCAAAAAAAGATTATCCTGTGTTAAAGAATTAAAGACCAAATTTCTAATTCCAGGTTTTCTTTTTATTAAAGTGTTTGGTGAGATGAACAATGTTATCAACACAAACTTTACTGAAATATTCACAAATAAAGTCCCTATTTTATAAATTGTCCAAATAGCATGCTTCTATATAGAAATTATAATCACCACTAAATTTGGTTAATCTGAAGCTATTCCTAACCACATACATGAGCTCTCAAGTTGGGAGATCCAGCCCAAGTTATCTTAGCACATGGGGCTAGCTGTTGCTACCAGAAGACTACCCACAGCAAATTGTAGGGGGGAAAATGATGTAATTTGAAACTAATAATTTATCCTCGCAAGGTGGAGTAGTTTCTGCATCTGCATTGAAAATTAATCTTCTTCTTTTTTTTTTTGGTTTTTCGAGACAGGGTTTCTCTGTGTAGCTTTGCGCCTTTCCTGGAACTCACTTGGTAGCCCAGGCTGGCCTCGAACTCACAGAGATCCGCCTGGCTCTGCCTCCCGAGTGCTGGGATTAAAGGCATGCGCCACCACCGCCCGGCGAAAATTAATCTTCTTAAGAGTTAATAAAAAATAAAATGTGATATATTAAAGCTTAGCATACATCTGTGTCTCTGAAAGCATTTGTGTGTGTTTTTTAAAAGGCAACTTATTTTTTCTTTACACAACTGAGTATGATACAACTTTAAAATAGATTGGTGACTATTCTCTCTCCTGGAAAATTATCTTTTTACTCAAATATCATTAAAATCATTTTAGCCTGACCCTAGATTAATAAAATTGCCTGATGCTGTGCTCAGTAAACTCTTTGGAATGAGGACTGCTGTCATGGTTTGATAAAATTTGCAAATCATTTTAAGATATTTCATCTATTACATACTTATTTTTTGTCACTTTTCCATAGTAAGAAATCCTGCTACCCAAAGCATAGAGGTACTGATTGTTCCTTTGGATAATGGTGGGTCTCTATCATGACCCACAAGCGAGACTGGTTGACAAGGGAAGAGCTTATGAGCCAGCTTGGACAACTCTCTATTATAATACAGCATCCTTGTGCCATCATCAAAAGACTCTGTAGTGTCTGGGCAGTGCGGAGACCTTTAAGATAAAAAAGTGCAAAGATTTAAAAAAAAAAACCCTTATATTATTTTGCTGTAAAGGAGTAGAGACATCCTCCATGAAATGTGTGATACTTCCAGTACAAACCATATTGAAACGTCTAGCTGGAAAAAAAAAATGGTAAAAAATAATGAACATGGAAGAAAAAAATATAAATTTAAAAAATCAGCACAAATGGACAAATATCAGTAAATAAAACCTCCTATAATCAACTTGTCATTTAAAAATGAATTGGCCAGAGGTGGTAGCCTATGCCTACAATCCCAGTATTCAGGAGGCAGAGGCAGGAGGGTCATTACAAGTTCAAGGCCAGCCTGGCTACATAGTAAGTTCCAGCCTAGTCAGGGCTACATAGCCAGATCCTGTCTCAATAACACTGCTCCTCTCCTCGCTCAAATGAAGATTTGAGGTTACATTAGAAAATTTCTGCAGTGTACATAGCCATTTTAAAACAAGTAATTTATGAAAAATGAGATATTTTTAGAGAAGGCCACATTATTTCACATTAGTGTGGTTCTTTCCAAATGGCAAAGCACTCAGTGCATTATACAGAATACACAGGAAATATTTTTTACATTGAACACAGATCTCTTAAGGAAAAAATACTACACAATACATTTTTCTATAACATGCAGTGTTTTGGAAACAATCATCCTTTATAAAGGTGCGGGGCTCTCAAATCATCTTAGAGCTAATGATTATTTTATAAAGAGTATAAGTGTCAAATTTTAAACATGACATACAATCTAAAGTTGGTTCTGCTAAATGGTAAGTCTTGGACATTTAGAGTGAGCAAGAAGAAAATGTCCTTATGTACCTATTCCACTGCTTGAGATGAATGTCATGGGTCAAATGCCATAAGAGATTTCCTTTCACTATTGTGGTCAACAAAGGCTAGCCTGGTTCTAGGCAAGATTAAAGCAGGTTCCATCAAAGAGCCTGTCCAGGACTGATCCACCAAGAGACTTCAAAGCCAACTAGGTACCTAGTTGAGCTTAGGGCAATGGCATCCAGAATAGCCCTGAACTATGCCGGATGTCTCCGCTGGATGCTGGGCTGGAACTCTCATTGACACACACTCTAGAGATCAGTATGCAGGTTGATGGGGCAGGATAGGCAAAGCATATTTATTGGAGCCAATCTCCATCTATCAGATGCTTTGTGACAAGAGCTTAGTGATTCTGGAGCAGCTCCTCCCAACAGATGGGCTGTGAAAACACCTCTCTCTCCAGCCAGAGCTCATAGGAATAATGGAAATCTTCAGGCAGATCCAACCTCTGCCCCAGCACACTCTGCAAGCAGTTATCCACAGGTGAAAATTCTGAGTCCTGCGGTTTATCATACCGGCGGCTGTTAAAAGCCTCAATATTGGCCCTCAGGGTACATTCTTCTGCTTGGAAGTCCCAAGGCCTGGCATCGATGTCTGACATAGGAAGAGAGGAAGAAAAAGATACATATAGCTCAGGACATTACTCTCATCCACAGAGCATGGTCTATGGCATTCTAACAATGAAACTGCTCAGAGTGATCTTTTAAGAGCAATGTATAAAGGAGACATCCAGCATATTTACAGTTTTAAAAAGTATACATACGATTACATGTAAACTAATATATATAGAAATTACCTTTGGAAGTATAGAAACTGGTAACTAGTTACTGCTGAGAAAGGAGATGGGAGAGCTTCTTATTGTAATTCCTTGTTGGTTTCTTTCTAATAATTATGTCACTCAAAAGAGCAATTAAAACCTTTCTCTGAGCTTTCCCTAGGGGATGAAAATTTCCCATTTGAATAGTATCACCTCTCAAGGAAGGGGAGATTGGAGCAGAACATGAAGAGTCAAGGCTGGACCAACTCAGCTGGGCATGGTGGCGCATGCCTTTAATCCCAGCATTTGGGAGGCAGAAGCAGGGAGAGTTCTTGAGTTCAAGGCCAGCCTAGTTTACATAGTGAGTTCCAGGCCAGCCAAGGCTACATAGTGAGACCTTGCCTCAACAACAACAACAAAAACAAAACAAACAACAAACAAACAAAAAATTATAAGTAGGCAAACATTTTATCATATCATAAAATTAGTATTATATTTAGGGGTTGGGGAGATGGCATGAGGACCCGAGTTTGGATCCCAAGCACCTACATAAAAGCCTGGTGCAGTGGTATGCATTTATAACCACAGTGCTGCAGGAGCAGAGACAGGCAAATCTCTCGAGCTCAATGGCCAGCCAGCCTAACCAAATCAATGAGTTCCAAGTTCACAAAGAATACTCACCATTCCCATAAGCCCAGTCATCATTCATGCGGTGGCGTACTTTCTGGTAAATGGCCGACATAGTCTTCATATTGCTTTTCCTCCACTGGCGCCCAAGGTACTTGGTCTGTATCTTTAGTAGCTTCAAGACATAGAGTTGTAGCATGGCCTGCTTGACTTTGAGGGCTCGCTTTAAGATTGGAGCTGATTTAAAGACCACCAGCATCTTCCCAATAGGACAGACAGGGGGGCAAAAAGTCCATCATCATGTGAAATTTTTAGAATTTCCAACCAGACAATATAGATAAACCTGGCTATCCTAGGAGATCTGCGTATCTATGGTCCAAACTACTTAAGAGTTAGTCTTCAAGAATACATAAGAACTATATAAGGAGTTTGAGGCTAGCCTGGGGTAGTGAAGCACTGTCTAAAACACACACACACACACACACACACACACACGGATTAAGCCAGACATGGTGGCACATGCTTGTAATCAAAATATTCAGAGGCTGATCATGAATTCAAAGCCAGTCTTGTGATATACAATAAAACCAAGAACTAATTCATTTAAAGTTTAAGAATTTAAGCATTTAAGAATACTTGTTGCTCTTCTGGAGGACCTGAGTTCAATCCCCAGCACCCTCATAGGGTTTACAACCATCTGTAACTCCAGTTCCAGGGGATCCAATGCCCTCTTCTGACCTCTGCAGACACCATGCACAAAGGGGTACACATACATACATGAAGGCAAAACACACACAAAATGAATAAACCTAATTTAAAAATTTAACGTCTATAATATTTATAAATTCAAAACAATTATCTGCAATATTTACCATTTCCACTGTTACAGGTTTTTTGTGTATCTTTGAAGATAATTTTTTTCTTTTGGTTTTTCAAGACAGGGATTCTTGGTACAGCCCTGGCTGCCCTGGAACTTGCTCTGTAGACCAGCCTGGCCTTGAATTCAGAGATCTGCTTGCCTCTGCCTTCCTTCCAAGTGCTGGGATTAAAGGTGTGAGCCACCACCACCTAGCCTTTTTGTTATTTTTTTTTAAGATTTAAAAATATTTAGTTGAATTTTATCACATATATATAGTATGTGTTTTTACACATGTGTGCAAACACTTCCTAGCACTCATGTAGAGGTGAGTGGACAACTTTCAGTTTTCTTCTTCACTGTGGGTTCCAAGAATCAACTCAGGTCATCAGGCATGCATAGCAAGCATTCCTGCCAGCTGAGCCATTTAACGAGCTCTGGAGATAATTTGGTCTATAGGTATATCACATACGGATTATTTTGTATTTTAACACAAGTAATAGCCGAGTACACTGTTCTATATCTTGATTAATTTTTTTTTTTTTTTTTTTGGTTTTTCGAGACAGGGTTTCTCTGTGTAGCTTTGCGCCTTTTCCTGGAACTCACTTGGTAGCCCAGGCTGGCCTCGAACTCACAGAGATCCGCCTGGCTCTGCCTCCCAAGTGCTGGGATTAAAGGCGTGCGCCACCACCGCCCGGCTTGATTAAATTTTTTAAAAATTATGTGTATGTGTGTGTGTACGTACTTGAATTTGAGTACATGTGTCCTTGGGGACAAGAGGCATTGGCTCTCTCTCTGGAGCTGGAGTTACAAGCAAATGGGAACTGCTTGACATTGGTGCTAGAACCCAAACTTGGGTCCTTTACAAGAGGAAGACATGCTCTTAACTACTGAGCCATCTCTCTAACTCCCATACCCGACAAGATCTCTTTATATAGTTCAGGCTGGTCTTGAAATCAGAGATCTTTCTTGCCTCTTCCTCCTGAGTGCTGGAATTAAAGGCCTCATTTAATTTAATAACATATCTTGAAAATAATTTCATACCAGCAGAGAAATGCCTCATTCTTTTTAATGGTTTTATCATATTCTACTATAAGGACACACCATCATTTATTTAAGTAGTTGGTCCTTGTTAATGAATGTTTAGTTGTTTCCAGACTCTTAGCATTACAAGCAACACTGCAATCAATGTTAGGCTTGCATCATTTTTGGATATGTAACTACAATCCAAATGTGGCTGGCTTCCCTTGTTAGAGCTGCCTTAAGAGTGTGTCTATATTTAGTTCCCTGAAAAGAAATGGACTGTGAGTGATCATCTTGGAATAACTGCTAGGAAGTGCAGAAACTTATGTAGCACTCATCAGCTACCTACAGATCTTTCCAACTAGGCATCTACAAATACTAATGATTTAAAAATTCAGTTGAATGGACACTTCTGTGATCTGAAGTCCCACTTACCATGGTCCTGGAATGCTTCCATTTGGTCAGTTTATTGAGCAGTCTCAGGAGGTTGATGCAGGAAAAGAGGTTCCTCCAGCAGAACTGACTATTGTCTCCAGCTTCCTGAAATAAAGAACATCCATCAGTATCTCAATACCCACAAGGCTTTCATTCTCTTAGAAGATTGCATGTCCTTGTTGGTTAGTTTAGGTGAATATTCCAGAATGAAATGCTGCCTCTTTACTTCCTGCCCTTTACACACCAAATCTATTTCTGAGGGCATACTATCCTTCACCTGAAAACCTATAGCTAGGCTGAGCACGTAGCTCAGTAACAGAGTACCTGTATAGCATGTGCAGAGCAGTGCCCCTGAATCCCAGACAAACAAAATAGACATAAAACAGCTGAAATGGACACTCAACTGACAGTCCTGCAAGATTTGTGACCCAGAGCAAGTATTGGTTAGAAAGGCCTAACATGAGCACAGAAACCTGACTCATCAAACTCTCTGTGCTATCACCTAGAAACAGAGGTGATTCTCTCATATAAACACAGTTTACTCTCATAGACTTTGTGCTCACAAGAGCAAGTTTGTAATTACTAGGAGTTTGATCTTATTCTGGGAGACTTTAAGCTATACTGGGTAGAGTTGGCTCTCTTCCACCATGGGATCCAGGGATCGAATTCAAGTTGTCAGATTTGATTATGGCAAGAGTTTTTACTGGTTAGGCTATTACCCTGGCCCATGGAATTACCTTGTGTGGTAGTTTGAATGTAACTGGGTCCCATAATCTCAGAGAGAGTGGCACTATTAGGTGTGGCTTTGTTGGGGAGGGTATGGCCTTGTTGGAGGAAGTGTATCACTGTGGAGGCAGGCTTTGAGATTTCCTATGCTCAGGATACTGCCCAGTGTCTCAATCGACTTCCTGTTGTCTGCAAGATGTAGGACTCTCAGCTATTTCTCTAGCATGTCTGCCTGCATGCCGCCATGATGATAATGGATGAACCTCTGAAACTCTAAGTGAGCCACCCCAATGGAATGTTTCCCTTAGAAGAGTTGCTGTGGTCCTGGTGCCTCTTCACAGCAATAAAAACTCTAATTAGACACCTTGATTAAGTTGACTGAGATGGGGAGACCCACTCTAGTAGTGGGTGGCACCATTCCCTGAGCTTAGGTCCTGAAATGCAGAAAAAGGAGAAAGCCAGCTAAGCTTAGGCCTTCCTACCCCTCTTCTTCCAGACTGTAGATACAGTGTGACTGGTTACTGCTGCCATGACTTCCCTACGGTGAGGGAACTGGAGCCAAAGTAAGTCCTTCTAAGTTGCTTTTGTTCCGGTATATTTCATCACAGCAACAGGAAAAGTGATAGAGAAGGGAAAGCAGCAGTTGGTGCATTCCAACCAGGCACTCTTAGTTTCGTGTGTGTGTGTGTGTGTGTGTGTGTGTGTGTGTGTGTGTGTGTGTGTGTGTGTGTGAAGGTCACAACAACACAATGAAGTTGGCTCTCTTCTTCCACTATTATGTGGGTTCCAGGTATCAAGGTCATCAAGCTTGTGGCATGTTCTTACCCACTGAGCCATCTTGCCAGCCCCTCTTTTATGTTTTTTTAAAAAAGATTTTAGTTTTTGCTTAGGTGTCTATATATGCCCGCATGCGTGCAAGTGACCGCAGAGACCAGAAGAAAGTGTTAGAATCCCCCAAAGGAAGAGTTTGGGTGGTTGTCAGTTTCCTGTGTGGGTGCTGGGGACTGAACTCAGGGTCTCGAAGGACAGCAGCAGGTGCTCTTGCCACTGAGCACCACCCTCTGTGAGTACCTAACCGGAGACAACGGGTCACACCAGATGGAAATCGCTATCTACTCATAGAAACATTTTGTTTTGTGTGTTTTTCAAGACAAGGTTTCTCTGTGTAGCCTGGTTGTCCTGAAACTCATTCTGTAGACCAGCCTGGCCTTGAACTCACAGAGATCCACCTGCCTCTGCCTCCCGAGTGCTGGGATTAAAGGCGTGTGCCACCACCACCCGGCTAGAAACATTTTTTTTTCAGGAACAAAAATAAGATCTCTTATGTGAATTTAGGAGATATATATATATATATGTTTGTGTGTAGTGTATGTGTGTGTGTGTGTATATATATATATCTCCTTATATATATATATATATATACATAAGATCACAATAGGGAGCTGGAGAGATGGCTCAGAGGTTAAGAGCACTGGCTGCTCTTCCAGAGGTCCTGAGTTCCTGAGTTCAATTCCCAGCAACCACATGGTGGCTCACAGTCATCTATAATGAGATCTGGGGCCCTTTTCTGGCATGCAGGCATACTTGGAGGCAGAATGTTGTATACATATAAATAAACAAATCTTTAAAAAATCACAATATATATTTACCCTATAATACACATATATTATATAGAATATATAACATGCCTATAATCCTAAGAGGCAGAAGCAGGAGAATTTTAAGTTTCAGGCCAGCCTGAGCTACATAATAAGTTCAAGGACAGCCTGGACCACATAGTAACAAGGCCCTGTCTCAAAAAAAGTATCGGGACTGTCAAGATGGCTCAGCTGGTAAGGGTGCTTGCTGCCAAGCTGCCAAGCATAATGACCAAGTTTGATCCCTGGAATGTAGTAGGTAGCCATTCCAGCTTTGATCTGGAAGTTCCAACCCCCACTGAGGCTTCGGTAACTGTCACACCTACAAGGCGGGGTCAAGAGAGGACCCTGAAGACCCGAGATTCCTGGACCCTGGACGCTGGAGGTAGACCGAGCAGAGTTCTCCAGAGAATACTGCTGGACTGTGCTACGTCTTTCCCAGACCGTTACCTATCCCTTCACTTGTAAATTACGCCACTAAATAAACCTCCCTTTTAACTACGTGGAGTGGCCTTAATAATTTCACCAATATCTGGAACCTACTTAATGGAAGGAGAGAACCAACTCCTCTAAGTTGTCCTCTGACTTCCATACATGTGCAGTCACACACACACACACACACACACACCACATACACACACACACATGGTGGGGGGAGGGAGAGAGAGAGAGGGAATAAACATAAAAAACAAAACAAGGACCAAGGCTGGGGATGCATATAAGTAGTACAGTGCTTGCTTAAAATGCACAAAGCCCTATGTTAGGCCCCTATCTCTGAGAAAAAAAAAAGACAAAAATCTTGCCTAAGTTCTACCTCACAATTAAATTACTATTGTAGAATGCCTAGAGTCTAAAGTTTCAGTTTGTCCTACCTTTTAGGGCACCATCAAGGCAAAATTAGGGCTCTAGTCTCAAAAGGGGGGTGGGGTGGAGAGTTGGCTCAGTGGTTACAAGTGGCTGCTCTTCCAGAGGTCCTGAGTTCAATTCCTAGTACCACACGGTGGCTCACAACCATCTGTAATAGGATCTGATGCCCTCTTCTGGCATGCAGAACACTCATACATAAAATTTAAATAAATAAAATTAAAAGAAATCTGCTCATAGCCCAGTTAAGTGAGCCAAAATAGAGACCAAGGCTACGCCAATTATCTAGATAGTCCGGATAACTAAGGGAAGAACAGAATTTGTTTTTGATTTTTCAACTGATGCAAAGAGTTCGGTTTGAGTCTGGAGCACTAAATAGGATTCAGGTATTCTAGTGAAATTCAGTCATCCACAGAAGGAAAAACTAAGGCCCAGAGAGGGAGCGAGTCTACAGAACAAGACCACACAAAAATGTGAACCGAGCCGGGCGGTGGTGGCGCACGCCTTTAATCCCAGCACTCGGGAGGCAGAGGTAGGCGGATCTCTGTGAGTTCGAGGCCAGCCTGGTCTACAGAGTGAGTTCCAGGAAAGGCGCAAAGCTACACAGAGAAACCCTGTCTCGAAAAAAACCAAAAAAAAAAAAAAAAAAAAAATGTGAACCGAAACATGGCCCAACCGTGACAAACGCCCAGTTTCTACTGAATTTCCAGTCTTCTTTCTCACTGTTCCCTTTCTTGCTGCATTCTGGAATGCTAAACACTGAAAGCATTACTGAAGGGCATTTTCTCTGATTTTCCTCTTTGTGAAAGTCTTTCAGGCTGTAGGGTAGACAAGCTTACTATAATTATTAACTCAAGTCAGCAGAAGGTAAATGTCTACAGAAAAACAAGAATAAGAAAAAATAATGAGACTCTCTTCTTTTAAAAAAAAATTATTCAGGGCTGGAGAGATGGCTCAGGGGTTAAGAGCATTGGCTGCTCTTCCAGAGGATCTGAGTTCGAATCCAAGCACCCACGTGGCAGCTTACTGTCTGTAACTCTAGTTCCAGGGGATCTGGAGCCCTTGCACAGACATACATGCAGGAAAACATTAATGCATATAAAAATAAATAAATCTTTAAAAAAATATTTAATGTGTATGTGTGTGTGCCTGAGTGTATGTGTATGCACCAAATGCCTGCAGTACTGAAGGAGGTACGAAGAGGCATCAGATCCTGTGGCACTGGAGTTACAGATGGTTGTGAGTCACCATGTGGTTGCTGGGAACTGAACTCCCATCCTCTGCAAGAGTAGACAGTGCTCTTAACCGCTGAGCCATCTCTTCTACCCTGAGGTTCTCTGCTTCAAAGCAGAACATCTGACTGATTTGATAATCAAATGGAGCCTCTAAAGAAGGGCTGTGAGGTGTGAAACCCTGTCACAGTTTACTGCAGTCCATAATGACTCTCTTTCAGACTGCAAATGAACTCTGTGCTAAGAAACCAACTTTAGTATTAACTTGATGTTCTTATAATAAATGTAGAAACTGATAGCCTGAGGCAAGTGTAGTACCCATCAGTGACCCTTTTACTGATGAGGTTTCTCTAGTCTCTAGGAAAACCACACAAGAAAAAAAAAAAAAGACAAAAAAAAAAAAAGCAAAAACCAAAAATAGAAAAAAAGAGGAAAAAAAATGAAAAGGAAACCCACGCAAGGTCTAGGTCCAAGTGGCAAACAGGCCTGTCATCCCATTTCTACTCTTGCTTTGTGCTGTAGGTTTTCTACGCCATGTCTACCCTGCACCTATTAAAAGAGTTTTTCCTTGGGCTAGGTCTTAACACCTACTGATTGCAAGTTAAAAACTATTTTTTGGTGACCAATTCTTCATCATTTTCTTTAT